CATCTGTTCTCATGCAAGAACTCCCAAAACAGCTATTTTTCCCCTACAGGTTTTCATAATTTTGTGTTTTAATGCCCTGTCTTGCATTCACAAGTGTGGTCTTGCCTTGCTCATAGAAAGTTGCAGCTGTGATTAAGCCTTTGAACCTTTCACCCCATTTGAATTTTTCTTTTGGTTCCCATTCTCAGTCACATTAAACACTCAGCCATTTTGGTTTCAAGGGCCCCTAAGATTTACTGTCTATATGCATATTTTTTCCTGTGCTAGCAAAATGCTGACTTCTATTCTCCAGTAAAGCATTGGTGATATCTTTTCTTCTTCACCCTTTTAGTATTTTCAAATGAATATTGTTTGCAAAGATTTTCACCAGTGGTTCAGTGTTGACAGAGTTCTCCATAAATATCTGTAAAGCTGCCCTTCAGACTTCTTAAAGTTCTTCTTTAATACAATCCCTAAAGTGAACAATGAGGAATGACGGAAAATCTTGGATTCTATCAGTGAACAATATTCTCTCATCATTTTTTCACAGGTTCCTCTGTATCTTCTGTCTGCATCCACTTGTCTTTTTTTTCCCTCCTCATGGTTAAGCTGGGTAGCTTTTGAGCTCCCCTTCTCCTCTCTGTTGGCCTGGTATGTGTCGCTCAGGAGACCCTCTGTCTCTCTACAACTCATTTCTTTGTGCTCCAGAGTACAAATACAAAAATAACTGGAGATATCTTTTCATAGAGTACACAGTGAGGCTGGGAGATCAGTAGCTGCAGATTATCACTATGGCCAAACTTTTGGGGAGTCTAGCAATGATGTGTTTATGTTGCCTAGTTAGAATGCCTAGAGTTGCCTTATCGCTAAGTAGAAAAATCTCTTCTCTAGGAGAAGAGGTAGATAAACCTTGTTTTTTAGAGGATAGCTAGATCAACTGATGGGAAGAAGTTCACTTTTTGAGAATGACAACTCTCAGCTTCCTACTGCACAGTGGTTTGTAATGTTGTCTGAAACAAATATTAGTGAGAACTTCAACTGAATTAAATTGCAGGAGGGCCCAGATCCGAGTCCTACTTTTTCATCTTTTGGAATTCAGAAAGGACTTTGCTCAGAGTCAAGCCTGATCATGATTCGCTGGAGTTTTGGGACAGGACACTTGGCAATAAAGAACCAGATAATTTCATTATACTGTGAAGGAAAGTTGAATTTTAAGATGTGAAAAATAGACATGAAATGAAATTGCTACTTATAGATAGTTCTAGTTTAAGCATCTGGTACTGGTTACATAGAAATATGTTATTGGATCAGGTGGATCATTAATCTGATCAGTCACAGCAGTTTGTGTATTCCTGTCAAAAAATCTGTTGTGGTTCCAGAGGAATTATTTTTGATTATTGGAAAGGCACTAAAAAATGACATATAGAGGTTGAGATAAGGACGTTAGTTCTTGACTTGCTTTGAAGGCATTCTGCTGTCTTGCCTAATAAGCTTTTAACAGTAGTTAAATTGGGAAACAGGCCAAGAACAGAGGGAAGAGAATGTAACATCCCTAGTCATAGGGCTGGTGGTTCCTAGTGTGCTGGGACTGGCAGATCCTGGTAACACAGCTGTTACATTCATTAATTAAAGTGCTGTTAGGTGAAAAATTACTTTCATGAACTGTTTTGTTTTATTCCAATCCATAATTCTCAAACAGCTGTAACATTTTTCGGTCTGATGCTTCCCTGCTACTTTCTGCTTCTTAATGAAGTACAATTTCAAATATTCTGTGTTGTAAAGCAACAGATTGTAGAAGATCAATGCAACTGATGAGGGCTTGGTGCCTTATAATCTTATCTGATTAAAATATGTTGGAAGATTATCTGTTCTGTATTAGATGCATAGTAACATCATGCTGCCTAGGAAACATAAAGCGTGTGCACGCTCGCTCTCTCACTCACACTCTCATATTTGTCAGGTTTAGTACTGAATTCCCCTGGTTGTATTTAGTAATGTGTGTGATTCTTTTGTGCTTTGTGACTGAAAATTCATCATAACTGGTGCCTAATCTGCAGTTTTGATTTGAGTCCTTACTGCAATCACATTTTAAACATGCATTGGCCCTGTTTGAAGGGTCCTTAAAAAGTTGTTTTTTTCACTACAGATCTGGATTTTAAAGTTGAAAAGAAATTGTTGCAAGCTGCCAAAATGGTACTCTGTCTAGTTCTCTTCCTCAGCCTTATCTGCACACAAAGGAGAGGACACATCCCTATTAAGTCATGAATTCAGTCACAAAAGCCTGAAACAGATCCCAAGCCAAGCTTTGAGCTTCCACTCTGCTGTTGCTTGGGGATTGCCTCTATGCTTTCTATTTTTATTTTAGTTCAGGTAGAATTAAAAAGGAAAGTATCCCTAGGAGAAGTGACATGTGTATTGCCTAAACTGGGACAACAGAGGCTAAGTCACTGGATCTGTAGATCTGCGCTGCCACTGGCAACTTGTTTATCCTCCTATGCTTCAATTCTCACATCTGGGAAGTGGAACTAACATCCCACTTAGCAAATATAAATGAAATCTCATGGCTCTTCCTCAAGGCACTTTGAATTTTTTTTCTGGCGAGGCATCTATCTGTCTACAATGGTGACACTAATTCCTTTGGTTAAGCCTTTTGGGTGTTGCAGTTGTGGGGAATCTGTCTGGAGTAACAGAGTGTGCTGTTGTTCTGATGAGTGAGAGTGAACTCAGGAATATAACTTAAAGGATATTCTTGATAGGTTTGCCACTGTTAATTATTAAATGAACCTTCCATTAAAATTCTTTATGCAAAATACATTCCTACTTTGATTTCTTTCATTAAAGGAGCCTGTCTCCTCTCTACAGAAAATAAAAATCTTAATTACTTCACTAGAGAAACAGCCCAGAATACTGAATACTTGAGTCCCCCTTTGTTTCTCTAAAACATGGATTTTGCTTACAGCTCATAAAACTGCCGAGGACAAAGGTTCTGTAAAAAGCAGATCTCCATAGTACCTCAGAACCTGATACCTGAAGAATATTTTAATTAGATTCTTGGTGGCTGTGAAGTTCTATACGAGCGGCCCATTCTTGATGGATAAAGTGTGAAATGGAGATCTGTCATGCAGAGGAGCTTTCTCATATCAAGGTGGCCTTGTCCCTGCAAGTGGCAGTTGCCATTTGTCTGCCACTGCCCTTTCTTCCCCCTTTGTTGGTTTCTTGTGAAGGGGTTGCTGTTGACTGGAGTATTGGCTCTGATAATCAAGAATGAGGAAATGTTTATGCTTTGGCACAGATTACTTATTCATGTATCTATTTCCTGAATGATCCCCAGTCAGTCACTTAATCTTTTTATAAACTGGCCATTCATCTCTGCAGTCAAGACTGTCGGCTGGCAGCCTCACTGAAATCTCTGTGTGGAAACATCCAAGCTGCTCAGCCTTTCCAGCACTGTGGACAAAAAAGAAACTAGAGGTCTGTTTTCTCTCAAAATGTGGTCTTGGATTTCCTGGGCACACCTGTCCAAGTCCCTTCATTTTGCTGCTGCAATTATTACTTTTTTTTAACCTTGAAAAAAAGGGGAAATATATTGTCCTGATTTCACAGAAGTCTTATAAGGAAACTTTTGTTAGTGAGCCATAGTGTGACAGTATAGTGGAATGGCAGGAACTGTCCCTGCCTCCGCTTGTTTCTACATTCTGAACAAGTTGCATGGACAGAGTATGTACCAAAATCTCAGGTTTTCCCTTAAGCGATTTGAAGATTTTTTTTTTAAGTAGTAGTCTTTTTGAAGAATATATGTTTTATATGTGGAGGGTTGTATTTTTAATGTGAAAATACAGTGGGGGATGCTTCAGGGACAGGGTTTTTTACCATTTTTATTTGTAAATACAATTTTTGAAAACCTTCCAAGTATCCGTCTCATTTACTCAAGAGCTTCCACTCACCACTTCAGTGTGGTAGGAAGCTCACCAATCCTATGCCACAGGTATTAGCAGACTGTGTACAATTTTGGTCTTGAGCATGCTAGAACCTAGATACCAGATGTGTTTTATTCTCATCTACTAAATTTATGCAGTACTAAAAAATCCTGCCATGTAAAAACTAGTTAATAAAAGTATTTAATGACCAGGAGTCAAATCCTGCTGTTGTCATTCATCACACGGTAGTTTTCTGTGATTAATTCTGCTCTGAATAAATGTCCAGAAATGTGTAATTTCTTACCAATTGTACTAGAGGACAGGCATTTATGTTCTATAAATACGGTGGTTCTATGAAATTCACTCATACAAGTACTGTGCTTAGCTGATATAATCTTTCAAATGGCCTGATCTTGTAAGCACAGGCAAATCTAATATACACATTCAGTGGAAAATCAGCAGTTCTTGTTCTCCGAAGTTTAATGTTTTGTTTTACAATGTCATTCAGTCTTTGAGGATACATTCTGGGGAGAAGCGAGAAGTACGATCAGCAATAACAGATTGGTGAGTTATAACCTTAGAAGCAGTAGGTTATTTTGCATTAATGTGTTTTTCCCATAGAAGACATGAACTTCTCTGCTGGTTTATTGGGAATATTTATTATCATCTTACATTGTTTCTCGCTTAAAGTAGGACCCCCACTCTGGTGAACACTGTATAAAAAGAGCAAAATAGGCAGCCCGTGCCCTGAATTGATTACTGTTTAAGTCTCAGTATTGCCAGTGGAACTTAATTAAAAATATAAATCTTGAAGCAAATGAGTGTTTTGCAGTTGATCTGAGAAAAGCAAAGGCTTCACTAATCTTCACCTTTTTTGGTAGAGATTCTTTTCAACAGCTGCATGGAATTTAGTGGTCTGAAATCATCAACACGTCACTTTATATAGAACATAGAGTATGTCAACTGAGCTCTGCTCTCTGCTTCTTCTCACAGCATTACACAAACACTGTTTTTTTGGTTTGCAAATAAGCGATGTATTGGCAACCTTCCAGTTTTAAATTCTGCTTTTTAGAATTGAATACTATCTTTTGTGTGTTTCTTCAGGGCTAGCCGGAAAGATCATAAAAGCCATCATCAATGAAGGATTTCAGATCTCAGCTCTGCAGATGGTAGGTTTTCATTTGTGTATGTTTTTCTGATAAACAGAAGTTGGAGAAGTGCTGCGTGCGCTTCACAGCAATGCATAGGTATTTTCCTTGTGCAGACTGTGTAGCAGTGTTTTGGAATCAGCACTGTCCTTGTGATACATATGTTTTGTTATTTAATTGATCAGCTGATCTGTTTCTTGTTGCTGGGTGACTTTAGGCCAAGACACTTTAACTCTCTGTATCTCAGTTTCCCTATAGTTAGAAGGGTGATAATGGTATCTGTGTCTACTGGAGCAGTTTGAGATATCTTTACAAAATGTACTAGCTAAGATTAGTGAAATCATTGTTATTATCCTTTTTCATATACTTTTGGTATAAATTTAGGGGAGTTTTTAAAGATACTTACAAGATTTTGACACCCCGATCACACTCAGCGGTTACAAGAGTAGTCCTGTAAGTCCTACACTTCGATTTTTGTGAAAGTCTTGAAATCTGAAATCCCTCTATGACTCAAATCACCACCACAAATAAAGGATAGCCCCTTTTATTCACTGTGCAACAAACAGAACCTCTTGCATGTCTTAGTGGCATCAGCCAACACTACATTGTAGACATATTTAAGGTGGAAGAAGATACTGTGTGCTATGTTGCTTGTGGCATCATTGGCTAAGTTGTTGACAAAGTTCATATTGCATCTGTAAAGATATTCCTTTTACCTAGTAAAACTTAAAAGAGTATTCTGAATGTTTGCTGGTTAAGAAGGGGTAAGTGTCTGGGTTTTGTTTTTGTTTAAGGCAGACTGGCTAACATCTTTGTTTTCTTAGTTCAACATGGAGCGTGCGAATGTGGAAGAATTCTATGAGATTTACAAAGGTGTTATTGCTGAATATGTGGTAAGCATAAGCTTGAGAAGAATCTCTTTAAAAGTAAAATATGATTAAATGAGGAAGTGGTCACATCTTTCCTTTTTTTGGGGATTCTGATAGGATTTCTTTTAGGAACCTGGAATTGAGCAGTTCCAGCTTGTTCCCAAATAAACTAACACATCTTGAAAACTATGCTACCTATGTTGTAAGACAGGAGAGTCTTTCATGAAAATTTTTTAGCCAAGGAATCTGTAACATACAACAGAGTGAAAAAAAACCTGCCGCTCTTGCAGTAGAGTTATGAGAATGTATTGCTTTTGTATCTGTGTTTGATTTGATATTGCAATAGCGGCTTGGTCCAGAATATATATTTATTATTTTGTTTACAATGGGGCTGCTGTATTTGAATGCTTTCCTCATGATATTTTGAGCTATTCTTAAATTTATTGATCTGACTTTTGTGGATCTTCAGAAAATTTAAGAAGTTTTAAGATATGCTGTAATCCCAGTGGATGTCCAAGACTCTATATATTATTGTGCTTTGTTGTACTGTTATATAAAAGCTTCTTGGCTGCAAATAGAACAATGGGAATACAAGAAGATGAGCTTGCATTTCTGTCTGTCAGAGGATTTTGCTTCACTTTACGAAATGAGTTTAGCTTTACTGCCATGCTATGTACTTGCAAATTATCCTTAGATTTAAATAGTGGAATTATTAAAAGTTTTCTACACAGTTACTAGTATGACTCTGCAGAGTTACTAACATTGCTCTGATAATGACATTTTTATTTTCTTCCCCTCCCACTCCTTTATGATTGTTTAGTCTATCATACTTCAACAGGGTTTGTAGATTTGTCTTTAAATTGGTTAGGAGCACTGTTAGTTCACTCTCAGATTGGGAAATACTCTTAGAGTCTCTCATAACACCATTTTTGACAAGGACCAAATGAAGATTGGACAGGCAGACTTATAGATATGTGGCAGAACTCAAATATGGCGGTATCTGATGAGTATTTCAGGGCCCGAAGAATCCCATGGTACTGCCATAGTCTCTGCCTTGAACCAAACTGGACATTCTCTACCGTCTTCGGCAGCTCTTTTGTAAAATCCTGACCTTCTAATAATTTTAGTTATATAATTTAACAGGAGACTTACTCCGAAGGAAAAGTGACATTTAAACAGGGTAAGTCAATAAAGAAGATATGTTTTAGATGGGATTTTAAGAAAAGTGGGCTCTGTCCTTTAAGAGTGCTGGATGCACTCAGTTGAAATGAAATGAAATTAGTATTTCCATACACGTAGGATATCTGTGAAACACGAAAACATGGGAAAGCTAATTGTGAAGGTAAAGGAATGCAAGGAAGGCACATATGGGAACAGCAATAGATGTTGTCAGTGCAGGCCAATTAGGAAGAAGTATGTCATGAAACAGGATATTCAAGAAAGAATATGACCTCTTATGTCTGTGACTCAGAACCGTCTGTTTTGGTGTGAATTTTGTTTATTATTCCAAAATAACTTAGCACAGAAGATACTTGGCATCCTGAAATCCATTTCAAACACTGTGCTCGCATTTCTTCTGGTTACCCTTGTCAGTGAGGTAAAGGCTTGCCATTCTTTATAAATCAGAGAAAGCTGAACTGCCTAAAATTCTAACTTTGTTGGTATGTCCTGCATGGGATGTGGCATACTATTGATCAGTTTTTGTCCTATTTTGCTTTGTATTTCCTGCTGTAGCCAGAATAGAAAATGGGTAAAAAAAGGAAGGAGATTGTTTTGGGTCAGGTCAGAATCCACTTTGTTGACCAAAAATACTTGAGTTTGAGCCTACTCCAGGAATGGTTTTGATTGACCACAAGCCATGTTATTTGATGAATAAACTGTTTGCTAAAGAAAATTTTATATAGCTGTAGCTGGGAGTCTTACCAGAGAAACAGTGTCTGATATTTAAATTCAACTTTGGACTTGATGAGGCTGTGTAAGGTAGACCAAGCTTGTCTCACATAGTGCCACATTTCTCTGTGCTGTAGTTGACGGCAGCTGTCAGTCAGTCCTCATCTTTGTGTTGTAATGAAGGAGTCAGGCATAACTTTGCTCACATCATTTGCTGTTGCTGGTGGTATGTCAGTGGTGATACGAACACAGTAGAAAAGGGAGGAACAAAAAAAACCACAGTTTGCAGGGAGGAATTCACTCGTTTCCAATAAAGTTAAAAAACTGATATTTTTCTGCTTTCCTGTTAACAGTTATTTAGATGACAGAATTAAATGAAATTGTACAAAATAGTGACTTTGTGGTAATTTACTATTTCTTAACAGAATGAAATATATTGCCCTTTGACCCGCTCTTAACAGAGGATCTGTTGATGATAAGATAGTTTTTGGAATTAAAATATTGTTAATGTTGTGGAGCATGAAACTGTGTCTGCACTTTTTTCATGTCCTCTCAGGAATTCTTCTACATACTTTTCCTAGGATCAGGTTGATCACATAATTACAGAATCATTTGGGTTGGAAAAGTTCTTTAAGATCAAGCCCAACCATTAACCTAGCACTACCAAGTCCACTACTAAACCGTGTCTCTATGTGCCATGTCTATACATTCTTTAAACATCTCCAGGGATGGTGACTCCATGACTTCCCTGGGCAGCCTGCTCCAGTGCTTGACAGCCGTTTTGGTGAAGAAATTTTTCCTAATCTCCAATCTAAACCTCCCCTGGTGCAAGTTGAGGCCATTTCCTCTTGTCCTATTGCTTGTTACTTGGGAGAAAAGTCTGTCCCCCACGTCATTACAACCTCCTTTCAGGTAGTTATAGAGAGCAATAAGGTCTTCCTTCAGCCTCCTTTTCTCCAGACTAACAGTCCCAGTTCCCTCAGCCACTCCTAATATGTGAGGAAAAGACAGAACCAAAAGTCCAAGAGACATTTTAATGAATTAAAGCCATCAAATGGGTGTATATTTAGGAAAAAATAAAGGCTGTGTACCGTGCCCCCTGTAGGGAGCACTGCAAAATACATTGCTGCCTGTGGAACCAGCTGAACATAGTGTGGTTTTTCAAGTGTATACCCAGCAAAGTGTGTTCCATTGATTCAGTCTAGTTTGACAGGTTATGGGATACTTCTGTGAAATCCAGATGAGTAAGAATGTACCCGCAAAAGAATTTTAGGTATTGTGGATGCTGTTGTATGCCATTCAGTATCCTGTTGAAGCTGAATATCCAATTTACCTCAGTCTCCACCTTCTAAACCAAGTAGCAAAATGGAAAACATTTATTTTGTTGTGAATACTAACAACATCTTTGTTTCATGTCTTTGATTTCTGAAATGCATCAGTATTTCTTAATTGTTCCTGACCTGTAAGTTTGGGTCTAGTTTTTGGGAGGAATGCAACCCTTGCTAATGCCCAAAGAAACTCAGATTATCTGTTTATCCTTTTTCTCTTCCAGGAGATGGTTACAGAGTTGTGTTCAGGGCCTTGCATAGCAATGGAGATTATACAACCTGAGCCTCCAAAAGTGTTCAGAGACTTCTGTGGTCCTTCTGATCCTGTGAGTACTTCCTTGAGGGGATAGGAACACTTAAAAAGTTGATGTGCTGTCTATGTGAATGAAAATATCACAGTGTGGTATGGCTGTCACATACCTGCTACATTCCTTGGAAACATGTAGGCATTACCTTATTATGGAGGTCAAATGCTAGTCTTAGTAGACCAATCCGCAAATCCTTTAGTAACTCTTCTGATCTTATTTAAACTAGATTATAAAATACTGTGATGATATTTATGTGAAAGGAAAGCCATCTAGGCAGAAATCTCTATTGAAGTTTCATAAATCTTCTAACACAAGGCTTCAGAGACCTGGAAAAAATAGCTATTGCTTGTCCGTGCCAGTGTAAATCAAATGTTAGTCCACTGCAGCTTGTGGCATTCTCCTAGGGTAAAACTGTAAAAGGAGAATCTGTTCCTTTGTTTTTCAGAAAAAAGTGAGCAAAAAGGGTGTAAAAGTTCTCGTACCTGTTTGCTGTGCTAATGCTTCTAGCTTTTATTTTTCATTTCTTGAGGTGACTAATTGGATATGTGTGATTCTGTTTGCAATTTGGAGACTAGCATAAGTGCTGTCTCAAAAAAATTGCAGTTTTTTGTTAAACAATGAAGGCTACTATACCACACAGGAGTCATCAAGTGAAATACCAAGATGGAGTCAATGAGGTCAGGATTTCTAAGGGGTTTTTTAATTATGTTTTGGTGTTTTAATAGCAGAGTGAGTGGGTTCACCAGTTTCCATGGAAAATATTCACACAGATTAATAATTGAAGGGGAAAACGAGTTGTTCAGGATATATTTTTCTTCAGATCCAGAGTTTCCATTACAGAAAGCACAAGTTAAAGGCATCATCCAAACCCTTTTCCCCCCTTCTTTTTGGTAGCATTCAAATGCTTCTCTGCTGGGTTAGCATCTTGTAAGCAGGGCATAACCTATTTATCTGAATTAGTTTTAACTACAAGATGATATATCAGTAGTAATGAACACAATATGGTGGTTTCAGTTTTGTTTCAAATTCCATGTTAAATTAAAGGTTTCTAGTCTTTAAAACTTTCAAAGATGCAGTTGTTTTATTTGGGACTATTATATCCTTTTCATTTTTCTGCTTGTTTAGTGCCTGGTATGTTAAAATCAAAATATTCTTGCAAATATCACAGCTGCTTTAGGTTGTTAAAGACAGGTGTACCTATACAAAAGGAATTTCTCTATTTTTCCTTACTGCATCACATGACAAGTTCTGTCATAGCCATTCACCATGTGTGTGACCAAAGGAATTGTTGACGAGCTGAGGAACTGAGGGATGTATAAACTGATGGCTTCTCTGGGTAGCAGAAGAGAACAGCAAAGGATGGAACTAAATTCTGGTCTCCCAGATCTCTTGCTAGTGCCCTGCCTATGTTGTTTGTGTTTGCCTTTTAATAGTTTACTGTGTGACTTGTGAAGTGAAGATGAGTACCTGCCTGCTTCTAGTGGAAACAGGTGGCTATAAGTTTGGGAGACTGACTGCATAGCAGTTACACTAATGGTATGTTTGGAAGACAGACAGCTGTGTTACATATTTCCATCTGCTGTTTTCTATAAGAAATGCAAATTGACTCTTCAGGCACATAAAGCATAGGTACAGTAACTACAGGTGCTTTCAAGAGTGATCTTTGCATGAAATTTATCTGTCTCTTCAGATAGCATCAGTAGCTTGTCCTTGAGGAATTAGCGACTAAAGTATCGCAGTAGTCTTTTGTCATCCCCAACCAGAAACATCAGAGAAGCTCACAACTGAACGTTTTGGTTACAATATCTGTCTCAAATAGGAGTAGAAGAAACCATAACTGCAGTTTCATTATCTAGCAAGGTTATATACGGGCCATGAAGATACCATCGACTTGATATTCGAGTGGTTAAAGTAAATCTAAGTGTTGTGCAAATAGTGCATTATCGTTGAGAGATCCGAATCTTTCTGTAACTTTGTTTGTTTATGTACACTAGATCCTAATGTGTGTACAGCCTGTTTATAGACACAGGTGAAGAGCAAGATTACTATAAAATGTACCTGATTGGGTCACTTTGGCTCCTGTTAGATAACATCCTATTTGGCAAGTACTGCCATTGAAATCACTGTGATTAACTCTCAAAGCAAGGTGCTGTTTGAGGTGAGTAAAGGTGTTGGAATTTGACTTACAAAGTGAATCTCTCCCAGTCACGTGTGCTGATAATTATATCTTAGATACATAGCAAATGTAATAATTACTTTGTGGGAACTCAGATATCTAAACTAAGGTGTGAGTGTTAACACCCCTTTCAGTCTGTTCTTAGTTTTGCAGAGAGACAGTTGGAGTACACATCAATAAAAGGCATCCAAAAGAGAGGAGCTACAAATTTTCCCAAATCAAAGTGTGATGTCGTTTGGAAATAAGTCTGGTTTTGCCCAAGTCCCTGATGTTTAGGGCTGAAGAAGGAATTAGACTTGTTTTGTTTTGAGGATTATAATTCAATAAACTAGCAATTTATACCAAGTCTACAACACTAAAAATTAAGTGGAACTTTGTGCTGTTTTCTGTAACTGGGTAATATTTTGTTAGCACTGCAGGTAGTAAAGCTCTGCCAAAAATATCCTTAATTATAAACCAGCTTATAAATACTTTATTAAAGCCTCTCATGTGGTAGTAGGGAATACTACTAACCAAAAACCTGGTTTTAGCCTCTTTGTAAGTAGTGTACAAACAGCCTGTCAAATCTGGAAACGGGCAGTGGGATAAAGATACTTGTTTGTAAGGAGCTGCGCAGGACATGCTTACTCTTAAAATTCCTGTGACCTGATTGAAGGGCTCAGTGTCACAGGTTGCAGGCTCCCAGGTGGACAGTACACGCACTAGGAGAAATGCTTTTCTGCAGGTCTTGCTGCTGCTTGCGTTCTTGTACGCTGGCACTCTTCTGGTGAGTGGCCAGCTCAGTCACTGGTGTCAGCCTCTTTAATTACACTCAGCTTAAGCTCTTGGAGTACGGCTGGATTATTTTTGTTGTGCTGTTGGTGGCCTCATCTGAGGCCTTTCTGTAATCTTTCAGATCAGCCATGATGCTTGGTTTTTTTGTCTTCCAATTGCAGCCTCTAGCTTAGCTGTTCCTCACAGCCAGGTCCCAGACTACTCGTGTGACTTGCTGTTGTTATCTCTCTGCACCTTGTTCTCTCTGGCTTGGAATGTCTCTGTGGCACACATGTAGGGCTTAGAAATGAAAGGCTCTCTCCACATCTACTATAATAAACAGGTATTTGTGTTCCACTTACTGTTGCAGCACCCTTATAAAAGGCCAGCAGCCATTTCATTGCCCATTTTGGAAATACTATTTCATTACAATGTTAATAAGGGGTGTTTAAAAACGATCTCTCTTTTCCTGTAGCTTCTTAAGGAGGGAAAGCACCCACAGCCTCTCTTAGGCATGCAGAGCTAAGAGATTTGAGATGTTGAGATCCTATGAGCAGCTGAGCACTTCTAGTTCAATATTTAAATTTCAGATAACAATGGGATTTCTGAAAGGACTTTGAATGTCACTGATTTCCCATGTTATGTCTTTTTCAGTTCTTTTTTCAATACTATGAAGTCTTGTAATGCGGGTTGTTAAATAATATTTTTCATGCTGGGTGCTATTTCACTCTGTTTCTACTCGTGCAGTTCTGACATCGAGAGAGAAAAAAAAATCATACCTACAGCAAAGAGGTAACTCTTTCAGAAAGTTAGGAAAAGAAGTTAAAAAGTTAATAAAATCAGATTAATACAAGACACAATGCTTTTGAACATTCAATGCACACTCTCACTTAGAAATAAGAGTTGCTAATTGCAACCAAAGTTCAACAGAAAAGAAGCTATGTTTCTTCTTCATTATAAAGAAAAGAAATTGCTTGGAGGGGTAGAGGTAAATGCAGCACAGCTGTGCACTATCAGGAAAGCTGTTTTGTTTAAGTGCAGCAAGAAAAAAAACTCAAACTATTCTGCACTGATTTGACACTTTTTCACGTGAATCAGGAAACAAAGGCCATAATGGGAAACTTTGGAATGGGGATGGTGGCCAGAGAATCCTGTCACTGCTTGAGCTTGCTGGCATCAGTGTTTCGTTTGCTTGGTGGTCATGTATTTTTGGCCTCTGGAGCACTTCAAGGCCTTTTGTTATTACTTAGGTCTGAAGCTACAGCTGCAATTTTCACTTCTTCTTCATGCAGCTTCTATGTTGAAATAGCTACTGGTAACATTTTGTAATGGAATTGTTGACATTATTATGTGGTATTCATAAGACACTTGTAATATGGCTTCTATTTTTTATTTTTACCTTTCTTTTGAACTTTGTGTAATTTTTTCTAGTCTTAAAAGCTTTTAGTTAGGATTAGCAGTATGCTAAAAGTTACTCAAGTACGTTCTGCTGTAAGATATTATTAAAGTGATGGGACGTGCTGCAGTATTTCTGCATCCAGTGGGCTGAAAAGAGATTTGCTTTTGGCATTCTTTTTACACTGATGATTTGCAGTTTTAAGGGTAACCGTGATTAACAGTTGTTTGTACTTTTGCCTCAACACCAAAGAGCTAAAAGGGAGATTAGATGGTTTTAAACAAAGCGGTGAACTGAAAGAGCCAGAGTCTGCTTTAGCTTCATTCCTGACCTCGCTGTGTGACCTTGGACAAAAAGTTCAATATGTTTCTGCCTCAGTTATCACATCAGTTAGACAGGGATAACAGTATAAGCCAAAGAGCATGGTTGCTGTAAGATTTTTTTGTTTTATAGACCTCCTGTGAATCTCTAACACTGAAAAATATCTCTATTTTTTTGCCAAAAATGTTCATCTCCATTCCCAGAACTACATTAGCACCATGACAATTTCATATTACATCACATAAAAAATAGTTCAGTGGAAGATACAAAGAAATATAACAGACTATTTTTGAGCTTCTAGGTATTCATTTTCTGGTGTTACCTTTATAATTGTTTCAGTGTGGATTCTCCAAAGCCTAGAGCTTTGGTCAG